AAGCTGCACATGCTAAATTTGTACCTGAATGCAGATGTTGCACTCGAGGACAGTTTTTCTGGTACTGGCACTTGGCACTCACCAGTTGTTTTACTGATGCTATTTATTACTGTTCATTTTATGGTATGAATTGTTGTCTTAAAATGTTGGTGGGCCAAACATATTAACTGAGAAGGTACTAACCAGTGAATAAACTCCCATTTGCTAAGAAATAATCTTCCACTTTTGTTTCAAGCAGCCCATGTCGTCAGTGAAGATTTTCCAGAATCTGTGATGCCTGTCAGCTCCAGTAAGGCATGTGACCTTCACAGGGAGCTTGAAGATGAAGAGATTCCTTCGTATATTGAACAGTTTGAGAGAGATGTTCAAGATGACATAATTCTGCTTGGCAGCTTTTCACTGGAACAGGTCAGAGTTAAGAACTGTAAGACAATTTTATCACTTGCTTCATAACATGATGCTGGCTTGTTAACCTTGTACACCCCAATTCTATTTCTCTGCCTGGTGATACATATATTGAAAGAGGAAAAGATAACCACTTTCATTGGCATGCTTTATGTGACTGGCACTTTGCTAAGCTAGCAACAGGACCTTTATCTTTGTCTCCATTTTAATGTGAATTAAAACAGATTGCCTTAGTTGCTTCTTTCCTAAATAGTGGAGTATCTCTGACTGCTCTGTAGTAATATCGCAATTGAGTTTCAATCAAGAGACTAAGCTTAGGACATCTCTCTCTGCCAAATTTAACAGAGGGTTATTCATCTATCAGTGAGCAAGTTCAAATTGGAGCACATGGAGGATTCATGTAGCAATGCTCATTGTACAGTTGATTAGACTATTCCCTAATTATAAATTTGTAATGTTTTTTGGGTGGCAAAGCTTTCTAAGGTTTTCTTTTTGTCATTTCATAGCGTAAAGAGGCAGGGTTGGGAACATGTTGACAAAGGCACAAGTTTTCAGGGCTGAAATGATACTTGTGGGCACCTAACTACCATTTGTCCCTTTGAAAAATCTCATACTAAGACTAGAAGACAGGAAGAGAGATTAATTGATGAATCTATCATTTTTAATTAGCAACATGAGAACAGCATACTGGCTCTGATGGGCTTAAAATAGGTTATCCAGTGACTGATGGTGATCTAAGCTTTTTTTATTTTCAGAAAAGTTTTTAGATTTTTTTTTTCACTGCAGGACTAAACCTTATCATTTCCTTTGCACGTTGGTGAGGGACAGAATTCTCTTCCTTACTGCTTTCCTCTAAATCCTGAAGCTATATTTCATTCCTTCAGAGTTTTTATAGCTGCATGTATCATGAATGGAAGGTGGTATGGGTAATATTGTTCAGAGAATATGAAATGGGAGGGGAACATGAGGGAAAAGGACTCAGATGGTACTAAGAGCCTCATCTGCCTCAAGGGACTGATGGAGTATAAATCCAGGAATAGGGGAACAGAGAGTGCTGCACCTTTCCAGAAGGTTATAATATGTTGAGAGTTAGCACTATAACTATGCTTGGGCTATTCAGATGCCCCCAGAGCTTCATGAGCCTCTGTGACACCTAAAAAGGAACACAGTATTTTGTTTACACTCCCTCTAGACATGGTCACTGTGAGGCTGATCATCTTACCTGGACTCTTTTTGGAGGTGTTCAGTGAAGTTTGTTTACTAGACAGAAACAATATATCTGGTCATTACAAAACAACATCCTGCTTTTTAGCTGACAACTGCATATATGAATTCACATGTAATACAATATAATACAATACTCCTTTTCTTCCTTATATTATTACAAAACAAATAAAATCCTAATTTAATGTGATTAATTGAGCTAGTCTACCATGAGCATTCAGAGAGGGACTCAACACTTTATACTGCAAGGAAGAGGTCTTGATTACCTGTTCTTTCTCTCCATGCTTCTCACACATCTCTAACTTCAGTTGTTCATGCCCTGCTAAGGAATTTAGTCACATTGATATTGTATCAGTTGTCACATCTGCATCCTGCAATGCAGAGAGTAAGAAGAGGACCACTGAAAAATCTGTATTCTCTTCTAGATCAGTGATCTTTACATCTGTCCTTTCCTTGCAAGCTTACAGAAATGATACATTCAGCCCCTCTGAAAAGAAAATGGAAGAGGTGACATGGGAAGTAGAGGCTGCAAACATGCACATCATGTCATTGGTATTCAAAGACATTTAACAGTAATGTGAGCATGCTAATTCTTGTTTAATTGATCTTTATTCTTTAATGTACATCTCTACTCTTTGATCTGTGGATATACCCCTGCAGCACTGCAGTATCGGTGCCTTTCCACAGCAGCCACAGGTTCAGTGTTAGGTTCCTGCTATTGGTCTTCAGAATCTGTTCCTGACATCTTTGGGTTGCTTCCAGCTTTTGTTGCTTGAACATATGTTTATTGGTTTGTAAAAGTCTTTAATTTTCTGCATGGCATTTACTTCTTATTCAGTAGAAAAAAAACCCTTCCCTTCTCTCTGCAGGTTTAGTGAGTAGCAGATGTACTTTAGCCAGCATAATTTATGATTAGTTAATTTAATCTGCCATAATGACATAAAGTGAGCCTGAAACAAGCTTCTATCAATTTTGCCATTAGAGGTAGCATAATATTTTCAAATGTCTACAAAACTGAGTAATTAACCCTTGGGCTGAGAGGAGTCTAATAGACATCTCTCTCATATTCCTTTGCTTTGACAAAATGAAAAAAAAACATGGGAGCCCAAGGGTTAAAAATAACAAGTGAGAGTTTATAGTACATGAGACTGGTTTTATAAGTGAGGTTCAGAAATGCATTGGACTGCTGCTGTTTGTTTTTAGGCTGCCAAAAATTCTCTCCAATGAGGCATCTGATTTACACGAGCTTTGCTGGCAGCATTGACATGAAGAGGGTAGCTATGCATCGACTATGTATCCCTTAGTTCATTGTTTTTCTTCTCTGTTTTGTAGCATTACAAAAATGGGTAGCTTTTGTTTCAACAGCAGCTTGGTGCATGAGATTACCACTATTCAAAGTTTTTGAAAGAGCAGATGCATTTTTCGAAATAGTATTTTTTTTTGAAAAAAGGGGTTACTCTAGATTTTAGCTCTGGAACTTCAAACTGTATTGTTTTAACTTTATGTCCTGTTTTGTAAACGCAAAAGCTGATAGTTGAGGTTGGCAAGAAATACTTAAGGGCAGACCTGATAGATTCTTGTAAAGAAAGCATTAAGCAGATGTCCATGTTCTGTTAACAAACACATTAAGAAGTATTAAATTTGGAAAGCAGTGCTGCTTCTTGTGGCCTGCCATGTAGATCTAAGGATTTCAAAAGTCGTAATGACATTTGCTTTCAATAATGAAAAATAAACTCTGTTGCAGGAAAATCAGAACTTTGGGACTGTGTTGTGGTAGAAACTGAGCAGGTACAACCAAGCCTGGGTATGCAGAGTGCCACAGAAAGCCACCTGTTATGAGACAATGAGGGGACACACACTTATGGGCAGAACTTGATCACACAGAGCAGAGAAATATGCAAAGACATAATGCTGACTTAACATGTTTGATTAAAGATGAGGTGCTCTCAAAACATGAGACTGATGAGGATGAAGCAAACACTTTTGATTGGGGTGAGACTGCACTTGATGGGCTTTTGGCAACATAATTTTGCTATACATTAGTTTAAATGCAATGGAAAAATACCAACTCTAGGATTTTCAGCTGTTTCTGAACTGAGACAATAAATGTGACTACTCAGTTTTATGTAGGTTTTATCTGAAAAAAATTAATAGTTGGGTGACTGAAAGAATCAGTACTGCCAAGAACCAAGAACATCTTTCCTGTTTGGCCACCATCTTCCTGCAACTTGGTCAGTATTCTTTACTAAGGGTAATTTATTCACAGACCCCATCACTCTCTACAGGTTTCAGATGCTGCATTTAGCCCTCTGTGCAAGGCATAGCACCTTGCAGAACTTGATCATCACAACTATATAATCAGTTTTGATCCATGACCTCAATGAGAATTACTCAAGAGCCTCTGAAAGTAAAGTGCAGATTTTGCTCTTCAGTACCAGCAGTTGAGTTATAGTAGTAAGAAATGAGCTATTTGTTGCAGGTGGATAGTAATAAAATGTTGTCTTTCATCAAAAGATTTACCTTTTGGTTAAACAAAGGTTAATGCCTCAGGGTGTTAGACCTAATACTCTTACAGGGTCATTATCATCAGTGCTCTGACTCCTTGCCAAGTCACAGAGATCAATTTATATGATGATGGAGTGATCAGTTTTCCCTTGGTTAATGGTGGATAGCACATGGGTAAAATTTGGTACTATATTAGATGATAAATTTGCTCTCCAATCACAAATTTAATCAGTGGGATCAGACCTCAGTGATAAAAAACACCAATGCACATTTACTTTCATGTTATACCCCATTGGATAATACTGTCATACAATCATATCAGAGAATGGTTTGGGTTGGAAGGGATCTTAAAGATTGTTTATATCCTGATGGCACCTGCAGACCTCCCCTCATCAAAGCTTTAGTCTGATAAGTATTGTACAATCTATTCTGATTGTTCTTCGTGAGGATAATCATTGTAAGAATATATGCACCTAATAGTAATGCAGAGTTGAAGGTGACTTTTGAAGGTGAATTTTCCTCAGCCAAAACCTGACTACTTTTTGATATTTGCCAATATTTTAAATGAATGTCATATGTTAATGAGTTAGAGTTTTTTTTGTTCTTGTTGGTTTTTTGTTTGTTTGCTTGCTTGTTTTTCTCCCTGAGAATTATAGGTCTAGTAGAGAAGCTGGCAATGTTTCATGTCTTAAAAGTGGGTGACTTCATTTTAAATAAGCTACTATATGCTACACTCATTATTTGAGTGTCAAAGCATCTCTACAATCAGCTAGTGTAATGGTTTCCATTTAATTTGTGTGATATGGTAGGAATTATGTGTATCTTCTTTAGCACCTAATTTTCTTTTGAAATCTGTAATTAGCCTAAGCTCATCAAATTCGTTATAGTTCTACCAGGCAGACTACTCTTGGACTGGTGAAAAAACCCATTTTATTGAAACCTATGTTTTAGGGGAAAAAGCACAAGGTGAACTTCCTGAAGGTTGGGATATTGGGCTTCTGTCCCCTGGACTTCGGATGTTCTGCTTAGTGAGTGTCCATGGCCCTCAGATGTGTGTCAGCAACCATCCAGCAGACCCAAAGCCCGATGAAGATGCCAATATATGTAGCTAGGGGACTTCTCAACTCTATAGGCTGGCAACTGGAGATTTCTAAATATCTTTATTCTATTGGGCTTGCTCCTACTTCCTCAGTAGGATGCTGGGAACCCTCAAAATTTCTAAGGTTCCTGCCTCATTGTTTCTGGACACTCAGATATATATTTTACGTTTTTTT